CCTCCCCCCCCTTCTCTTCCCTTCTGGCTTTTCCCTCACACACACACCCCCCTCCTCAAAGAGACAGGACAGAGTCTGGCGATTCAGGGACTCACACAGGCCAGGCTTCCTTCTGTGCAGCCCTTTGCGTAGAGCTGCTAATCCTTCTTATTAATTAACGAGATAATAGCAGTTAACCGGAAAGCAATATTAATGCTAACTCTCTAGGAAACTTCCAACAGAAATGATTTAGTCTTTTTTGCTGATTTCCTGGTAACACAGTCATGCAGCTGGAACCGCAGCAGCATCTTGATGGTTTAAGTTAAGAAAACCAAGGGTGCCTGAATAGTATCAGGCTAAAGACATCTGCATCTGTTTTCTGCCCTCCTCCTTGGATAGTTTAAAAGATCCTCTCCTCCCTCAACTTCAGAGTTTATTAACAGCTGGAGATGCGGGCTCCCTTAATTATATCACTCTCACAGAAGGACAAAGGAGACTCTAAACAGTAACATGATTGATATGAGAAATGTACTCTGAGAGACAGATGCATTAAAAACACTCACAAATGTTTACCATTTGCAGGTACCTCTTCTTTAGTCCTTTAAATTCCCAACACATTGCTTAGGGTCTACTATGCTTCACTCAGTATGTGCTGAAATATTTAACATCAAGTTTGCATTTTTATTTATGCTGAAAAAAAAACAGCAGAGATGATCCAGGCATTAGGAATTCTGCACATGAGGCACATTGCTGTAGATATTTTTTGTTTTAGAAGAAACAGCAATGTATTTTTTAATTTTTTTTTTTTAATTAGCCATTGTAAGAGTAAGTAAAACATCGATCAGAAGCAGGGATTTATATTATCTGGGTTCTGTTGCAGCAAACAAGTACTGCAGCTTTCATTCACTGATTGTCAAAAACTTTCCAATGTGCCCACTGCAATGCGGATGCCAACCAACGAATCAAAGGCATTCAGCAACTAGACAAAGAGGGTCTGATGCCAACCTCGGTGCCACTGGCAACCATTATTGGCATCAAGCACATTGTCTGCCTTTTTTTTCCCCCTCTTCTGGCACTCAACAAACAAAATGGCGGTTCTTGTAGCAACGGGAACACAGCAATAGGCACTGCACAGAATCAAATACCATCAAATGATTTTATGGACTGAAATGTATTTCATACCAAATGATAGACACTCTCTGATGCCTGACAGAAAAAAAAAATTAAAAATTTAAAAAAGCTGCTTTGGCAATAGAAACAACATTCATGCCATTTTCAAGGCTTGGGCTTTTTAAAAACTCGGGGTGGGAGTGGGAAGCGGACCTGATACATCAAGTGGAGACCCAAAGAAGTGTGTTATGATTAAGAATAATGTATCACTGTGTGCTCCCCATTTTCATTCTCCATTCAAGTCAAAGAAGCAGCATTCCTACCTATATAAAAGCCCTTTTTCTTTTTTCTTTTTTTTTTTTTTAAGATCCTAAAGCACAAGAGGATAATAGAAAATAGAGGGGGGGGAAAGATGCTGAATTCTGAGGAAGATGATCAAAAAATAGAACTAGATTAAGTCAGTCAATGATAGAACTTCATAGGTTGCTCCTTATTTCTTCTTTCAAGGCAGGCATGGAAGTAGAAGCTCTTTTTATTAAAAACTGAAAGGATTATTGACATTTCTAGATCTGGAAATTGTCAATATATTGTAACATAACTCTGCACTGCAATGCGGATGCCAACCAACAAATCACAGGCATCCTAAGCTAAACAAAGAAGGTCTGATGCCAATCCTGGTGCCACTGGCAACCATCACTGGCACTCGAACTATCCTTCCTCCTCCTTTTTCCCCTAATCTTCTTCTTTAAAGCAACAACAACAACAACAAAAAACTAGTTGTCCCCTTTATTCATTTTATGTGCTAATTCCTTCTTCATATTTCATTCAGGGATTTAATTCTTTCTACATCTCCACTTAGTTTTTACACTATACTATTAGGCAGGTTTATGTATTCTAAAAGAGAAATAAAAAGCAAAATAGCATGTGTATAATGCAGCATTCTGGTTGACTTCATGCGTATCTTTTGCAAAACCTGGTGGCCTTAATCTAGTGCAGTACAAAGTGCCACAATTAACCTGCTTTCAATGAGGACAGAGAATCGAAGTCTGACAAAACGGAAAAAAAAAAAATACTAGGATAATTTAATATGACTTCCTCAAGAAGAAGGCAAACAGACATTAATGGAAGATTTACTGTGAAGCAGCAAGACAGATACAAAATACAGTTTACAATAAATGAAAGGGTCTACTGAAAGTGACCTGATACATAGAAATCACCCAGCTTCATCTTCCAGTATATCCTCAAAGTAGCATCATGCAACTTAGGAAGTTATACTGCAGTGTGCTTACCTTTCTCATTTCTGATTAGACAAATGTTTTAAATAAACTCATATTCTCAAGCTATTTAAAACAATAAAATCAGCTATGCCTTGCAACTCCTCTTCCCACTTCAAGTTACTGGCTTCCAACAACTTAAAAGTCAACAGTGCATAAGAGTACTCTGACCCCCAGTTTCTTCAGCTCGAGAGCTACTTAATCTCTTTTGCCTTCCTTTGTAGTTTTGACTTTCAGAGACAGGTAAATCCATTAGAATTAATCAGTAAGCTATGTCTTGCAATATATGCATTCAAAATATCATTTTAATTTTTCTTCACAAAAGGAGTCTAAAGGCACAAATTAATTGTATATAAGCTATTTTGATTAATGCTATCAAAGTAATCTTTCTTCCGACATTACTAGGGATCAGATTTACCAGACTATGCAGCTACTTAAAAGTCGCTGCAAAAAAGTGTTGTCTACTGCTCTGGAAATAAAAATACAAGCAGGGGGGGAGGAAACAATTTTTTCATGAGAATAACCTAAAAAATTGAATCCTCCCTATATGTTCATGCAAACATAGTGCTTCACTAAGATAAGTAACTGCTGAAAGACAGATTGACTAAAAGCAAAAAGGTTGTCATGTATCTGTTCTTTTAAAGAATGAGTACACACCAAAAGAAGACATACTGGTTTACTTTTTTATTACTAATGAAATCCATTCCATTTGTTTTCCAGTTCAATCCCACAGTTATGCATCGGGCATCAGATAACAGCCTACCATCTGCCCTTCTGCAGGCCATTTCTGCCTACTACCAGGCCAAGTTGTGAAATGGCCCACCATCTGTGGATGGTCAAACTTTCTCTGGTTGAGAACTGTGGCTAAAAAAGAAATGGTTTATTACTGATGATCAGTCAGCAATAAAAAGATGTCTAGAGGATAGTATAGTCACTGGAAAAAAAAAATGGCCCCTCACAGAGAAAAAGCATTTCAGAAGGCTTAGTATCAGAGAAAAAAAAACTTTGCCTACTTACAGCCATTTATAATTTCAAGGAACCTGCCTATGAGTATTGTTATCTGAATATACAGTATAATTAGCAGGTTTTTTTCCCCTGATACATGGTTATCAGAAGCCTTGTTTTTATTTCTGTTCTATAAAACTGAGTTTAAGAAGTTTCTCCAGTGTGCCTGCAATTTTCCACGTTTCAATTATTTGCCAAATAAAATTAAGTATACCAGTGTGATGATGAAAATATCATTTTAATGGAAAATTCTCTCAAAAAATTACAACCCAGATCCTTGTTTCAAAGCTCAAATAGGTAAAATGAGCTAGTCCTTTAAAATATGAATAAAAGATTAAGTACTGTATGCTGTAATTCTGACTACGTAAAAGCAGTATTTCTGTGCTAAAGTTTTTTGGTTTATTTTATAGACGTAAGAGAGTCTGCGATGACTTTTTGAAGTGACAGTAGGTTCATCAGTTTAAAGAATGAATTTTTGATTATTTATAGCTACAAAGACAATAACAAATATTTGTAGTATTTATGGTGATTGTCCAGTGGCACATACCTGCATCTGTTTCTAACAGTACAGGGGAAACAGAAAAATAAAAAATAATTAATTAAATAAATAAAAACACTAGGAAAACAAGAATTTTTTCCTGAAATCACAGCTGGGAAAACTACACAATATACTGCCACTTTTGGTGGGGAGGGGGGAAAGTATCTTCAGTGGAACTAAAGTACTATCTTAGTATGTCCCACTCTCTCTTGAAAGAGAACAAAGCATGTATGTCAAACATACATGTCATTAACACAGGTCTGTAGGAGTGTGTGTGTGTGTATGTAAGAATATATGTATACATGCTGATTTACACACGGATATGTACCCACATTACGTCTATAAACCACAGAATAATGTTTCACTGGAAGCCAGCCCATAGGGGAAACAGGGCAACCTGGAATAAGAGTTTGAAATACTAACATAGAAACACGACAATCTGCTTCCTACCTTGCTCCTGCACGTAGTATGCCAAAAACAAATCAAGCTCCTTGACTGAAACTGTTATGTGATGTGGCTGGACGCAAAGTGCTGGATTTGTGCAATGTGGGGATTTCATGAGCCGCTCTCCATCGGTACTTTCCAAGGGGATGCCTTTGAACAGGATCACCATGACTAGATCCAGACGCCAGACTTTGTCAGCCTGTCGCAGGCAGTCGATTCTCCTAATCTTACCCTTCTGGTCAGGATTGGACAATACACAGCATGGGTGCTTCTTCCCAGTCACCGTGAGCACAAAATCCTCCCGGAACTCTTGGCGAATATCTTTGCGCAGCTTGGCCAGGAGCCTGGATGCCCACTTCTGTTTAATTTCAGGCTTTTCGCTAAGTAGCTCATCCTTGACTGCTCTTTCCTCATCCTTTGACATTCGTTTCTCATGTTTTTTAAAGTACTTGCGTTTTCGAGCCTGAAGGTTGAACCAAGTGTAGGCAATTGCACGGACATGTGGAAGAAGTGCCTCAATGAACGGGTGAAATTCATCCTGTGGAAAGAAGTGGAGGGGGAAAAAAAAGAAGAGAAGAAGAAAACTCCAAGTCAGTAAGTTCTCATAAACAAAGCCGTGTCAAGAAAGGTTCCTGAAAATCTTAAAGTGAAATCCAAGTCAAAGAGAGCAAACACTTAAAATTCACAAAAATTTCTGCACAACACCTTTTACGCAATTACTACCGCTGTCAGGCAGCAGACAAAAAGTACACAGAGAACCACATTTTCTCTGTATTTCTCTCTTTGAAAGAACCATGTGAAGATTTTATTTTGTATGCCTCCCCTCACTTCATCCCTCAATGCTGCAGAAACAACATCATTTAAAAGAGATGCTATCAAGATGTTTTGTTCCTAACGTTCAAACATCTGAGTGAACAGCTAGCATAAAGAAAAGTACCATTGCACAAAGAGGACACTATACAGTTTTAAAAAATCTGAGCAGAAACGTTCAGAAGGCTGAGGCAAATGCCACAGTTCATTTCTCTTCTCTGTGGCACAGAAACACAAAGCATATACATGCTCAGTGTAATGCCACACAGTTCCCGCTTTTGGAGCATGCTCTCAGCAAGAGACTGCTGGTGGCACAAAGAGCATGCGCCATTAAACTTGATCCATTTTCTTATCAAACGTTCAACATTCCAGCACTGAAACAGCACCATTCCAGTGGTGGTAACTAGAGAAACCAGTATACAGTAAGGGAAAGCGGGCAAAAGCCACAGCGTGTCGTATACAATCCTGAACAGAAGCTTCTGCACTTTCAGCTCTTCAGGCTTCCCTCCCACCACCCCCAAACTCTGTAAAATAAAAGTTTATGAAGTTGAGAAGAAAAATTACATTTATGTTCTTCTGGCAGCTCCACTGTGGGTTTTGAAGCCCCACAGAGTCAGTTAATTTGTTAACTGATCACATGAGTGTGGCAATTATTTTAAACCCCTTAAAAATCAATCTGAGGTGTACAATGAAAAATGGCAACTTGGCACAAACTTTGCATTCTTTGTGTTCCTGCATGCTGTGGCAGAGTGACATTACGAGTGCACCGCTGGTCAAACGCTGCTTTTGTGAAATCCATGCAATTTATTTACAGTTCCAAAATATCCCTTTCCGTCATCTGGCTTCACCTGCAAGTTCTTATCTTCTGCCTAGCAGCGATGTGGATTGCATTAAGGAGGTAATGCTTAGTTGTCATCTACAAGTGCATCCTATAGCAATTAATTCATTTTGTCTGCTTAAAGTACCATCCTACACAACCACATTAATATCTACATAGGCCTTTCCCAAAAACTAATGCCTCTTTTCCGTAAAGCAAACCTGCTTTTTAAAACAGCACAATCTGCTCATCAAATTTTAGTTTGTTTTGGTTTGGAAGGGAGACCTTAGGGGAGGCATCTTTCTTCCTGTGTGCAGGCATATTTAGTTTTAAATACCATGCAGTTCATCATACTGAGCAGCATGGTGCAATCAAACTAAAACTGAACCTTTTTTATACTACTATGTTCAAGAATACAATTAACAAACTAACATTTTACCTATGCTGCTAGACAAGGAATGAATTACGTTTAATCAATAGGCTGATTAACTCCACTAGGTAAAAATGATGGAAGTATAACTAATGGTCTCAATTATACAGAGCACAGACTGTCGTTGTAGAAGCTTAAGGCCATGAATTTAGTATTTAAGTCTTCACATTTCAAACAAACTCCAAAATTTCCTGAATGGTAAAAAAGTCCACTAGATCTGGTTACCTCTTTTCCCTAATTATCCTTACATCAAACAGAAAACAACAGAAAAGTTGCAAGCAGTTTACCTATGACTACGCTACCTCCACAGAAAATTTATAAAAAAAAAGAAAAAAAAAAGGAAAAAAAATGAGTGGCAATGTAGGAAAGTAATTCAAGACATAAACGATTGCATTACAGTATGATGCTTGACAAAGAGCCACAAAGGCAATAATTAAACTGATTAGTAGTTTCCAGCAGAGATTTGAACAATTCTGATACTATACTAGCACATAAAACTAGGCCATGGAAAGAGTTAAACCACAATCTGTTCTTTGTGTGGGAAGGCAATACTGCTCTGAGTAACCACAGCCCATGATAAGACTACCCTATCTTCATATGTTTTCTGATGCCATGCTTTTTTTCCCCTCAGTTATAACTACTAATTAAAGTTTATTTTTTCTTCTACAGAAGTAATCTTAATGGAAGTGTTCCAATGAATATTTTTTTAAAAAACTTTATAAATGTAAGCATAAAGGCTGCATGGTGTTAAAACCTTACAATTCATTTTAGACTGAATAAAACAGATTTACTACAGATTTTGAAAATTCTAACAGCTGAGGCTAAATGTGAGGCAAAGGAAGAGCTTTGGGAGAAGTTAATTTTTGCCCAAATACAATGATTTCCCCTATGTCTAAACCAACTTCAGCATTTATAACTTAAAATGGAAAAAAAAAAATAAATGTGGAAATATTCTACACTACTAGAATGCTGCACATCTAGTTTTCATTTTTAAGAACTTCGCAAACTATTTTGAGATAGCTATACCTTCAGGTAATAACACAGTATTACCAATAATAACCTACAGCATTTTACTTTTATGAAAATTTCATAGAGAAAATAAATCCACTTTTTAAATTTCAATCTGTACTGGTTACTTCCTTTTCAGAGAGTGAAAGAATGGGCAGGGGGGAGAGAACAAACAACAAACCTCAAACTTTTAAAGCCTGTATTTGGCCTTTTCTTTCATAATATCATTCAGCCCTAAAGATACCAATATATGTGAAAAAGTGTGAAAGAGAAACACAGCGAAGAACACTGTGTTCTAAAGCAATATTATCAGATATCTTTGAGAGGTTCATTGTACATCTGGAGTCCTTTCAAATGAAACATTACTTGACAAGAAGAAGTGCCCATAAAATGATCCTAAATGGAGATTTGCAATTAATCACGCACGTTCTCTGCTAAACCTCCTAAAAAGCCATCTACAGAATTTGACTTTTTCCCCCTTAATATTCACACAGGCAATACTGATTTTTTTTTTTTTTCAAGTGTGGCACTTACCCATGTGCCACAGTTGCTCTTGCAATGAAGTGATTTATGGAGACACGATTTTCAAATATCATATCGAATGGCTCAGGTGAACCACTGTGCACTGGCAATTTCAATCAAAATGGAAGTTACTAGATAATATCTATGTAGCTTGTAAATAAAGGAAAAAACACCAGTCATGTAATTATGATAGGTAGGCCAGGTTTTATTTTTGGAAAAGGTAAAGGGGAAATGTACCGTCCTTCTCCGATCATCCACTTTTATAAACTTTGTATCAATTCATGCAAGTTTGAACTAAGGACCATACAATATACATGCCAGGTAGAAGTCTAGTAATTTTATAAAGAAAAGCTCATGCATTCAATTTCCTGACATGGACTTTCACTGTGCCTAATGAAACAACACATTCTAGGAGGAAAAGAAAATGACAACACATTCTGAGTTGCCTGGACCACCGCAACATAAAAATAAACCATGGCAAAAATATCACAAGAGACCAAGCACTTAAAGTTATGCGGTAACTGCTTCCTATCATGCCTCAGCAAGAGAGATAAATGCAGTTTACACTCCTTCCAAAACAGGGGGGAAGAGGCATATGGGAAGAAGAGGAGAGGGACTCCCCCAAAAAAATTAAATTCTATTTGGTAAGTCTTCATTCTGATTTTGAGTTATTTTACACCTACCAAACTTTTGTTGAAAGAGAGATGGATAACATTTGAATAGCCAAGGTTTGTTTTAAAGCTATCCTTTGCATTTTAGACTTGTTTCTGAAAGGTGCTTCAGCACTGTCTCGGCACAAACCAAACTACTGGTTTCACAAGGAGAGCGGTCCAAACAGGTGCTCCGTGTTTAGAATTTTACCAAAATATTTTCTTCTGAGCATACACTACCACAGTCAACGTATACCGCAAGAGCCCTAGAGATGGAGAACACAACAGAGAGAACAATTTTGGCAGTACTACTTTAACTCAGTTGCAACTCAAAATAAGAGTAATCTTTTCCTTTCAATAAATAACACAAAGTGTAAATCCTCATTGCTAGTGTAATCTTAATTTTTAATTTATAGATAAGAAAGATTAATTATAAAATGCCTTTATCATTCCAAATATGTAGAGAACCATTCCAAATTAAAATCAGTTTGCTGCAACTATGTTCCATGTATGTACCACTAAATGAGAACTGTCTCTGCATGGCAGCATGACTGTAAAATATTATGGAGAAGTTATCAAGGCACAAAAGCCAGGAATTGCTTTCTTGTATTTATGGCTGTAGAAGTACAAAGTTCTGTTTTTGTCTACACTTGAGTGTGATGTTTTAATACAGATTTGTAAAGAATGAGGAAATCTGTTACATTTGTGACTCCAAAAAGCAAACATATGGGAGAAAAAAACGACATTAGAGCAGGAAACAACAAAGTGAACTAACTACCTGGTAGTGCAAAGCTGTGTGCTTCCAATGTAAAAGAATGCTTTCTTAAGTTGTATTCTGAGGTTCATATTCTGGTGCAGAAGTCTTATTGCCTGTCAATAATTTCACAGGATGGCCAGCCCACACGGAATTAATTTTTACTAATTGCAGATTCCACCATAAGTAATTATTTCTATGTGTGTACCTGTAAGCATGTGCATAACTGTTACACGAAACGCTTCCTACATGCATTCATTTCTCTTTTGAAGAAGAAAAATCTCAACAGCACTCCTTCCCAGCTTTGCTCCACCATAGCTCACGTTTACTTGCGGAAAATATCCATATCTAAGTCAATCACACTTAGATGCCAAACAAAATATAAACAATAAAAAATGTGTCAGCCAAAAAGCTACACGATTGTATCCAATCACTGAATAAGCCTTATCATTGTTTCCATCTTCATTCACAACTTATGAATACTTCAGACCTTTTGAATTACAATGCTTTCTAATTGTGGAATAGCTGAAATGATATTTATTTATTCACCATGCAAGG